TCTCATTAGTGTACTGAGGCAAGTCTGCAGCAGGACACAGATCCTAAACCCTAGAATTGACAGCTGGACAGACCAGAGATCTATAGGAAATAAACTGGGTCATAACTTAGAAAACAAAAATGTGAGAAATCAGCAGTACAGTTAACACAAAACCCATCACAGTCAGTAGAAAAATTGCCATAGGTGTCACTGAATCAGGCTCAACTATTATTTTCCTGGTATATATATCTGCTGACTTCAGTCCCATACAAAAATGAGTGACTTTATAAATAAAAACATGCAAACTATTTCTCTACTGTGCTTTTTTTTTTTTTTTTTAAATAAATAGCCCCCAAGTCTGCAGTTTGTCCAGGAAAAGACCTCCTAATAGAAATCTGAAAACGTCTATGACCATTTTAAGCATACATTTCACTGTACTTTTGTTAGAATTTGGCTCTAGGTTGTTTCCAGGAATACGACAATTTTCCATGAAAACAGCTAATTAACCGTAGCTAACTGTATCATTAAATCTCTCCAGGAAAGATATATTGGGAAAGAAATACATTACTATATCACCTACCATTCACATATTTTTATAATTAATTATAAGCTGTGGCAAGCTCTAGCTTGAAATTCAGATGAATATTTGTTTATGTAATGCATATACAAGTTTATATTCTCAGTAATTATGCCCAGGTATTTGCCTCTCTAGTAAGGTGATGAGACACAAATCGTAGATGTCCAAATAACCAGTGGTGTTTACTGTGAGTTCAAAAATCACACACAAAAAAAGGTGAATGGCCTTAGTAACACAGAAAATTTATTAAAACACCACCAAAACACATCCTCACTGGGACTGTGCACAAAAGATTCTTTAATTATCCATAGACAGATTAAATAAATACAAAAATTACACACTATCTCCGTGTTTTCTTCTACTTGTAACTATCTCCAATGGCAGAGAAAGGAGGGTCCTTAAAAGGGGCTTGGAGCAACATTTCACCATAATCTTGTAAGTTTTGTGTCCTTCCCTACTTAAGGAACTAAACCTTCAAATCATTAATAGTATCATAGAATCATAGAATCGATTAGGTTGGAAAAGACCTTTAAGATCATCCAGTCCAACCATTAACCTAACATTACCAAGTCCTAACATTACCAAGGAATGAAAAAAGTCATTTTGGAAAACAATAAAAAGCTGGAACATGTGTCTTACAGTTCAATATAAACATTCACTGGAATATTAAGATTTATATATTTAAATTCATGATGCTAACTCTCTCCAAGATTTATTTATTAATAAATCTCTGATATTTCCGATGAATAATAGACAATGTTTAAGTGCAATTTTAGATTCAATAAATAAGTGGAAAGCCACTAGAAAATTCCATTGGGTTTCAGACTGCTAAAATCATGGCCCCACAGGAAAACACAAGGCCTTAATAAGGCCTCAAAATCCTTCAGGCAAATTTCACAGTCCAGTATATCTATATCCTTTTCTACATAATTATGCATCTCTCATCATTGAATTAGTGGAATCCATGGACATTTACACTTTGATCCAGTGATCATAAAGACAGATCCAACATACCTATATGAGCATTATTTTTCAGCAGAAGAGTGTTTCAGTGAATGGGTTTGATTCAGAGCTTGAATAACGATGAAGGTAGCTGAGATAGGAAATAAGGTTATGCATATAATGCACAGCCTTTCTTTTGGAACTTCAAAAAAGAAATACAACAATACAATTTTAATACAATAAGAAGGAATCAGGAGTCATACATGCAAACACACGCACATAAAGATTTCTATCAAGCTGTGTAGTGCAACTATTGATTGGGAGCAGCAAGACAGCAGAACCTGATGAATAATTTTAAGATATATGCCATAAAATTTGAGGAACTATGGCAAACAGATGTAAACAACATGAAATCTTGGTTGACTGGATGCCATCCGCATAGAGAACTATGACAGATTCTAGCTAACACTGATTCTACGGGTTCACTTTTGCACAAAGTAATTTTGCAAGTATAGGTGTTCCTGACACCAGGAAAATGAGGTTATGAAGTTTAATGGGATGAATACCTAGGGAGAAGAGGGAGAGGATAAGAAAAAGATGAAATTTAGAAAAATTATTCAAACTTTGACAATCAACATGCCAAATGCTACATGGATAAATACTGAGGTGCAGCAAGAGAAAACAGATGAAAACAATTACAGAAGAATTCACTGGAAGTTGGACTGAGAAACACATCTACTGAGTTAGAAGCATAAACTTCAATGTAAGGAGTGGAAAAAAAGGAAAAGCAAGGACAGTTTATAGATGAGCAAAAACAGGGAACTGCCAGTTAAAAAAAAAAATTCCTTGGCAGAGAAAAGAAACTTGGTATAGAGTTTGAGTAAAGAAAGAACATGGAGCAGATAACAGTTAAATATTGTCCCATAGCCTGCAATTAACAGTCAAAGCTAAACGTTAAATATTGTTTCGGAAGGGTGTGTGGTACATAAGAGGTGAAAACTTCTGCTTTGATGGAGAGAGATGAGACCACTGAAAGACTTGCAGGAACACGCAGCTCATACCCAGAGCTCATATACTACCAGCAGGATTAAAGCTTAAACACCGCAGAGTTTGAGCTGTTTGGCACCACTTTCTTTTACTGAAATACTCGATTTAGGGGTTGTGAGTCTGCTAAAACTACACCATCCTACTCAGCGGTCTAGGAATGTGTATCTAAATGGGCATGACAAGAAGATGCTGTAGTTTAAATGAAAACATAATAAAGTTGGTCCCTTGATCCAATTAGATAGTCACACTCTGCTACATACTACTGACTGTGCACAGGAATCTCTGACATTTGTTAGCAATACATTCTCAGTTAATTATGAAACTCTTGTTACAACACAGGGTGAATGGGAAGTGGGACAGTCTACGGAAGTTTCTTTTGAATTCTGAATAAGCAATTAATATCTGAAATAAATTAAGAATGTACTAGAGACCTACAACAGAAAAGAGTGAGCGTACACTCGCCAGCCATACTCACAAATACGAAACACATTCCTGTTTGAATGAAAAGGTCGTCAATTGGTTCATTACATGCTTGTCACAAGTCAGGTAAATGGACATTTCCCTGAACACTCTCTTTAATCTGATGAAGGAGCAACTCATAATGCATTTCATACCTACAGCTTTTCAAGCAATGGCAACTATATGTGAAAATGCAAAACTCACTAAAAAGGTTACATGATTTCTAGAAATTACATAAATAATAAAATAAGGACAAAGAATAAGTTCTAGTCCTATCAATATGTAATACAAGGAAGTGAAAGGTAATGTCTATCCTTGTTCAGGGTAAACAAAGCACATGTCACCATATTAAACTTCAATGAATATTAAATATTCATGAAAATCTAATATACTTGATTCCAGCTTTCATTTCAAAATATTTCAGTATGCCTATATAGCCAAAACCTTATGTCTATACTCACAGCTTCAACTGTATAAGGAGGATAAGGCCTTTTGTTCAATGATGTATAGAAAGACATACAAATATATAACCCACAACTCTGATCTCAATTAAATCGCTGTCACTCCACTGATTTTAATGGGGGCTTCTACTGTGTTAGACTTCTTTCACCAAGATCCAGGTTAACTCCATAACATTAATCTCATCATACAATTACTGCTTGCAAATGCAGTGGAGATACCTCTCGAGTGGAATGCGACAGCTGTTTAATAACTCACAACAAAATTGCACAACAGCTGAGGACAACAGTTGAAGAAAACTAATTCAGCCTTCATCTGCAGGAAGAAGTTAGCTAGTATGGTTGTTTGTACCCAGATTAAAATTTGGAACAATATCTTATTCTTACAGAATTTCATCATCAGATAAAATCAACAGTGAATTTAATCAGAACATTTTCTTTACTAACTTTAATTCTCAAAGTGTGTTTTTATTTTGTTGCAATTGTTTGTCCTGGTTTGGGCTGGGACAGAGTTAATTTTCTTCCTAGTAGCTGGCATAGTGCTGCGTTTTGGATTTAGCATGAGAAGAATGCTGATAACACGCTGATGTTTTAATTGTTGCTAAGCAGTGCTGACTTCTCAGCTTCCCATGCTCTGCCAGGTGCACAAGAAGCTGGGAGGGGGCACAGCCAGGCCAGCTGACCCAACCTGCCCAAAGGGCTATTCCATACCGTATGGCATCATGCCCAGTATAGAAACTGGGGGGGCTGGCAGGGGGGCAGCAATCGCGTGCTTGGGGACAGGCTGGGTAACAGCCAGCGGGTGGTGAGCAATTGCATTGTGCATCACTTATTTTGTATATTATTATTATTATTATCCCTTTCTTTTCTGTACTGTTAGACTGTCTTTATCTCAACCCACGAATTTTACTTTTTTTTTTCCCCCAATTCTCTCCTCCAGTCCCACTGGGGAGGGCGTTGGAGTGAGCAAATGGCTGTGTGGTGTTTAGCTGCCTGCTGGGTTAAACCACAACACTGTTGCATCTGCATTTACACAAGTAACACTGTTCAGTATTTCAATCTGCCCCACGATATTAGCATATTCATAATGCACTTTCTATTTATTCCTATTATTTACCTAGCCTCATGCTATATAAACAAATAAAAATGACCCTTCCAGCAGCTAACCTTACGGAGAAAAAGGTAGAATTCCCACTCTGAACAGAAATTGTACATGTTATTTGGTCTGAACCTTAATCATATCTTAGGGGTTGTCTTAGTTGATTCCAGAAATGAATAAAAAAGTGTAAACACAAATCAAAGCTTTCATTCCAAACTGTCATTTTACTTTTTTTTTCTTTTTTACTGCAGAGACTTGACTGTTTTTCAAAAACCACTACCTGCTGTCCTACACAGCTGCTCCCACCTCTTTATATTGGGAAGGATTCAGTGAACCACAAAAATCAGTAAGAAAAGTTGCACAATATGACAATAATGCATTTATCAACACAAAATTTGTTAAGGCATTATTTATAGAGATACGATCAGCATGGACTTACCTGTGGGGGATCCCTCCATGACATGACCAACGTAGGGTCCTTCTTTGAACATTGGCCTGTTATCATTTTGATCAATAACAGCAATATCTAGGCGGACTGGACCATCAATGGTTTTCCCACTTATATCTGTGACCTCGACTTCAAGCTGTATGAACAAAAAGAGAGGAGTAAATTCATTAGTTCACTATCACAGTGAGCAGAGTAAGAAAAAAAAATAGCTCAGATCAGTGCTGCTGTAACCAGACCCTGCCAAGGATACCATTTGCAGCCCATTCTTTTCAACTAGGCTCAGAGCAGATTTTCAATGTAAGCAAAAGAGAAAGATAGACATATATTAAAATCAAGATACCCCCTGGCAGATTGAAAATGCCATATTCCCTGAAGGATGAAATGACGAATATAAGAAAAAAAGGCCCCCTGAAAATTTTATACTAATCATGTGGAGATTTGGTTAGAATTTGTTTCTTTATTTTTTTTCAAGCACACTTAGAGAAGATGCATATAGAACTATCACAGTATAATTGACATATCTCCTAATGCTCAGTTAAAAGCCTTTTTTTCTTTTTTTTTAAAAAAAGGGAAGAATGCATTAGACATTAAATACATTTTCTCAGTGATGATTGCATGAAGTATTATGTTAGGTAATTTTGACAGTTCTTCAGCTTTTCTAATAAGGTATGGCAGGACAGGACAACATATGCAGTCTTATATAAGCAGGTATATATACACACGCACACTCACGTCCCACTGTATGAAAGCACCTGTTGAACACAAAGCTGACACAGGCAGCTGAAGATTTGTTTGGAGTTCCTTTACTTCCAAAAACTGGAAGGAAGGATCATACTGTGTATCTCAATCCTCCAATCCACTTGGAATGGAAAGTCACAACGAGTTACCAAAACTTAATCAGTCATTAGGGCAAAGCACGCCAAAACTTCTTGGATAATAGAAAAGGTCAATTTAGATTGCAACTGCATGCCGTAACTGCAGTTCTCTCTCCTCACCAAGACATCAGTAAAACACAGCAATAAACACATCAGAGACACAGCTATCATTTGCACCTACCCTACCTGTCCCCGGACTCAACTCTTTAATGGAGTTAAGCCAGCCAGAAAATGAACCTGAGCATAGACGTTAATATCACTCTCTTCCAGTCTTTCCCCGAGAAAGTGGTACCAGCAGGTGCTGGAAATCTCTGAGCATTTTGTTTATTCTGTTAATTTATTCTTCATTGCCATGTCTTATACCTGTAAGTTATTTATAAGCTAGTGATAAATCCTACTGGGAAAGAATTAGGTCAGAATTCTAATTCCTTATTAAAATGGATGGCTTATTATCACATCTCTCTGTATTTTGTTATGCTTAAAAATACATTCAACTTTTATAGTTCAGTGTGCTGGGTGTGAGTACGAGTATTTGTTATGGGTAAACTATCTACTCGCATACACTATTTGTAAATAGCGTCACAGTCCATTTTAACATCTACTCACTGCTCATCCTCACTTCTCTAGCAATTGTTCTTGCAAGCCTTTCCCAAGACTTATTTTTTACTAGCTAGATAGCTTAACAGCTTAAAAGCAAACAGATACTCCGATGTGAGGACAACTGATTCATGTGGCATTGGCACAGCTGAAGCTTTATGGGGGCACACGCCCCTTCTGTTTCCAGGGCTTATTTAACTCTGTACTCTAAAGTCAATGTAATAATCTTAGGATTGCGTATGATGTGATGTGGACCAGGAAGGAAAATGCAGTCTTATTACTGAACTACATTAAAGCTAGATACAGTTTTAGATACAGTTGGAAACTGCTGACAGAAAGATTTATCTTAGTAAATGTTGACTCATCAAAACTATGTTAATTGCTTTGGGAAATGGAAGAATGGCAATATTTCTCTGTGAAATTCCATCAAATTCATTTTCAAATTCAAGATAATTTGCTCCTAATCTATCTCTCAATATTAAGTGACTATACTGCTCACTGGAAAGAACAAAGGCTTTGCTAAATTTAAAAAACTACTTCAGCTGCTTTATCAAAATTGTAAGTCATCTAAAACAAAGGCTGATCTAACACTAGGGTTTTATCCCAGACTTGCACAGATTAAGGAAGAGAATAGGAGATTCTTATTAATGACTGAAATAGATTTACTTTATCATCGCCAAGTCCACTGCGTCTCAGACCAACTGGCCAAAAGCGTTGGCATGACAGGTCCGTAGGAACAGTTACATGATCTCATCTTCATTTTATTAAGATAACAGAGGACTTTATTTTATTAGTCTTTGTACAATAATTTCCAGGCTTGTCCTAAGCATTATGGGTTAACTCACCAGCTCTTTTTAAACCCACTCTTCCTACAATGTTTTCAAAATAAAAGCCTGCAGCACCAAAATTATGACCTCTATCTTTACATGACTATTTGTGAAAGAAGCTGCTTTATATCTTATCTTGCCCAACCAAAAAAAAAACCACGAAAAAAATCCATAAAGCCCCATGGCCCACAGAACAAAAAAAACAACAAAGCAAAGAAGCAACAAAACAACAAGAAAAGTATATTGTTACTTAAAAAACCCAACACATGCAAGAGAAAGAAGCATTCAAGTAAAAGACAATACTGGCACAAAAAACCAACTTACTTTGAACAGGCTGTAAATAAAACCAGGTGGAAAATTAGATTGTGCCTAACTATCAGAAGAGTAAGATTTCAGTCTTTCATTAAAGAAGAAAGGCAGGAAAGCCTATCTAGTTTTAATATAAAACTTGACTGATGTATGAAAGATACTGCATTCATTCTTTTGATAGCAAGAGACTGTAATTGAACATTCAGAAAGTATCAAAGTTCCTACCTGATTATAACAACATAACTCTAAGGAAAAGGGGTAAGCATAAAGACAGATTTGGGCAAATTGACAAAAAAAAAAAAAAATCTGCAGAGCTCTGTAGCTATTTGTTATGTGAAAACCTGATAAGATTGACTATGCTTTCAATGTTCCAACCTAAGAGTTACGGAATTATGTTCATAATGATGAAGTTCTGTTCATCATAATCTAACCAACCATATTTTCAGGAACACTTGAGGCTAAATCCCAGTTTCATTTTTGACAAAAGTATAGATGCAAACTATAAAGGATAATCAAGGGTTTATGAGGACTGTTACACCTCACAACTCAAGCCTCCATGACAGGATACAAAGCAGATTTTGCCTATTGCTTCTAATATAGCTGGGAAACACTGATACAATTAAGCACACAAATAAAACAGGGAAAAGCAATATAAAACTGAAAACTGCAGGCAGTAATAGATTTTAGCCTGTTTGTCTAGACAACCTCTTATTCAATACTGTCCCTTCTCAGAAGGGACTGCTTGACTTCCCATCCAATTTCCCTCACCATATCTGAAGTCAGGATCTTCCTTGTCACCCCAAATGTAATGGTTTTACCAGAAGTTTAGTAAGCTTAATCAAAGCGGCACAAACCTGTTTTAAGCACTCTGCTTTATTTTATATAGTCTTGATTCCCTTCCACTCTGCAGTCAGCAGCCACATTTACAGGAAAAGATAACCATCTTCATTCTTACCATTACTTAAAGTAATTTCAAAGGTTTCTCTTCACAGAATGGTTGTTTCCATTCATTTATTGCTTTTGGTGAAACGATTCTGCATAGCCACCTTCCTTCTCTGGATATAGATGTCTATTTTTACTTTGCAGCCAGCCAGCCAATGGTCCACACAAAATTACATCACAAATTTAAAGTTTTTCGTAAGTAAACCTGCAATATCTTTTAGTACTTAATTATCTTCAAAGTCTAACACAGGTTCTTTAGTCATTAACTGCCTTCTAATTTTAATTTCCAATTCATTGCTGATCAGAAAGTTTCTCACAGAGTTCTTCCACTTGTTTCAACAAATGTTTTTTCTACATGTTCCTTGTACCCAGCTTCACCCAGAGGAAAAATAAATAAATAAATAATAACAAACCCCAGTCATTTCTGCGTGTGAAGCCACCAGCTTTCCAGAGGCACAAGGTCCCTGTGGTCAGGAGCGCCCAGGCACACTGGGTGTCCGCACCCGGCTGTCGGTAGCGGAGGCCGCGGGGGTCTCTGCGGGGCGAGGCGGGGCTGCCCCCCGCCGGACACGGCCCGTTCCAGGCACTTCCACTGTGGCCCCGCCACAGCGCACAGCTGAGCCCCTCTGCTTACATGTGGGAAACCGTATTTAAGAAAGGGGCAAAACGCTGCACGGGTGTTTTGTCTTCATCTCGACCCATGAGCTTTTAATGCCGTTGCTCTGACCCCCTGCAAGGCCAACCCACCAGAGCAGGAAAAGCAGATGAGTAAACTGTGACCAAGACAGAGGAAAGGTGTGCCATCCTGGAATTGGGGTACACTCAGAAACCTGAAAGCAGCACTGCAGCACTACAAAAACTGCTATACCACTATCTGCCCCAATCTCAGTTATTCTGAGGTAGCTATAGCTACAGACCACTTCTGGCTTTATTTATTCCTAGCTTGATTAGAATTAAACTATTGAGAGTACTTGTTAGATCTATTTATCATCAATTTCTAAGTGTGGATTGACAGTAAAGAAAGGCGACAGACTTAGGATATTTCATGTAGGCGATTTCCTGCTAAGAAAAAAACATTTGGCCATCTCCAGGTCATAAAAAGTAGTAAAGAAATTCTCTTTATAATGAAAAGTTTTAGTAAAACTTTGATGCAATTACCTAAAACAACTCAGAGAAGACAATAATGCAGACACACTGAAATTAATTGCAATTAAATTTTCCTGTTATTAAGAATATGAATAAAATATTAGCTAATTTTTATATGGCACAAGAAGAGATGGAGGGAGAGGCTATAAAACCAAAATACACCACTTCTAATAGGTATGGATAATTTTATCTCAAGCTACTTGATGACAGGGTATCGATTACCTCAGCAAGGTGGTACAGAGATGATGGCAAAAAATGGCACCATTACCTGCAATGGGAGAATTTAGCTTCACATTCAGAATTAGAGCCTAGGTGGGAAGGGATTAATTATCCATTCTAACTACTCCTATGAGCATCTTACAGAGGTTTTATCTTGCTAATGCATCCACTTAAAAAATTAGATTCTGATTCCTTAAAAAAACCATGCAGTTTATTACTCT